ATTTTTATTGGGTGATTCGGGACTGGCGAAAGGGAGTTAGACAAGATGACTAACAAAAAGGGGAATTATGGGATGGTTGAAATGGGTGTTAGTTCATATATATGGGCATTCGGGACCAAGTGGTATAAGCATGGTATGGGACGTGCAGGTCTGCTTGTCCAATTATATGAATTAACGGGGGTAGATGAAGAGCATTCATGCATTATTATTATTAATGTGATATTTGGCTATATGATTGCATATCACCTAATTTAATTATATCAATCTACTGTGGTAAGGTCTCATATCCCTACTGAGCTGCGATTGCTCACCCCTCACCCTATTTAATTTTTTCAGATGAATTAGTGGGCAAGACGATGACTAAATCGATTAAGGCTGAATTAGAGGAGAGTAGTAGAGCTTTATTTATTAATTGTAAAGTTGTAAGATTTTGGAGCTATTTTTATAAGAGAAGTTTATTTTAAACTCATATTTCGACATCTTTTTATTTTATTTTAGTTATTTTATTTTCTCACGCACCGGGCATAGGGATTTCCACCAACCCCCGAGTTCGGGGCGTGACAACAACCCTCTTCTCCAATGAACCCTAAACCCAATTTCCCCTTTGTTACAAACTGAGAAACCCTTATTCGAATAGCTTAAAGGTTAAAATGAAGTGGGGCCCACTATTCGTAACGGACCGTCAAAAAATTTGACGGATGGGGTAAATTGAGACGGTTATTTATACGTTGGGGGGTACTTTGAGACGTTTTCCACCACAGGTGGTAATCTGAGAAAAACTTAAAAGCACAGGGGGCATGTACATAATTAAGCCAAGATTATATCTTAAATTTTGCTAAAGAGTCTGCAATCATATTTGTTTCCTAAAAATTATGGGCAATTATAACGATTTGAAAATCTTAAAGAAGGAAATTAAATTAATTATCAATTTGGGATTGCTGTCACTTTTTTAAAAGCTCCTTTTGCTATATTTTGAAAATAATTAGCTACAAACTAAAATAGCTTCGGGTTTGGTATAAAAATTAGTGTATAACAGTTTGATAAATTTTGGTATAACATTGTTGTAATTTTGGATAATGACAAATGATCATGATATTGAAAGTACTAATCATGTGGAGGTGGCGGTGGTGGCAGCGGTGGTTCAAGTGGTAGTAGTGGTGACGATGTCATTTAAAATAATTTATGATGGTATAACATGAATTGAAAAAATAGTTACCCTTCATTTGGATGGAGGAAAATAACTCGAGATTTAGCTAAAAGTCAGGAATTGAAAAGAAGAAATTGATATTTCCATTGTTTGACAACTTAAACATGGAACTTATTAAATGACGTACGGGAAAAATCATGGAAATTGGGGATCGAAATTCCCGAATTTAATTTCCACCAAAAGAGTCGTCATTTCACAATTCCAATTGAGCAGGAATTTGTTTTCACTGTAATTTTTGTCATTTACAAAATTCAACATATATAAATCCTTGAGATCTCCTTCAATTATATCTTCGAAATGCTAATTTTCAATTTAGGATTGCTGTCACTTTTTAAAAAAGCTGCTTCTACTATGTTTTGAAAATAATTAGTTGTAAAGTAAAATAGTTCCACGTTTAGTATAAAAATTAGTGTCAAACAATTTGATAAATTTTAGTATAAAATTGTTGTAATTGTGGATAATGACTAAAATGATCATGATGTTGAAAGTGGTGGTCGTGGAGGTTGAGGTAGTAGCGGTGGTGACGATGTTATTGAAATTTTTTGTTATTAAAAATATATAATTAAATTTCATATATATATATATATTAGTTGTAAACTCAATAAGAATAGAATTAGGTTAACATACTATTCCACTTTTGAAAACCACTTCCTGTTACTTCTTGCCTCTATAATTGTGGATTGAAGGACCTGCTAGGAATTTTATTGAGTCTAATGTTGAAGAGCTTTATTTTTTTACTTCTTTTTGGTGAAAAGAGGATAGACTTTGCCAATAAAAAAAACCAAAAAGCAACACACTTTACGGGCAAAAAACAAACATGGCTGCTAAGCGATTAGAGGAGAGGATTTGCTCAAAGCAAAAGGAAGTCTGGTGGGCCATATTGATTATTAGTTTTTTTCAAAGCTTACTTGGGCTACAGCCCACCATAGCCCTCGCTGTAGTTTCCTCAGTGCCCCTCCCTCTCCTCTCTTCCCCCATTCTCTTCTCTTCCCCCATTTTCAGTGACAAAAGATTTTCATTTTTTGTCTTCGTTTTATTATGATTTTTTTCCACCCATGATAAGTGGTTGTGTCTCAACGTCGAATCTCCGCTCATGATAATATGTGAAAATTTTATTTTAAAAAGTAAATATATTATGTTGATCCCAAAATTTATAACAAGTGGTAAAAAAAAAAAAAAACTTTTTCAAAAGAGAGGATAAAAAGTAGACCAATTAGAACAAATCCAATCATTAAGATCCTAATTAGTTGGAGGTCCCTTAAGTCTTAAAGAAGAAAGTTGATTCTAAAGGTAAAAATGACATAATTAACGCATGATTTGATCATGATGTGCGTAAAATGATAAATTATATAAAATAATTCGTACCATGATTTATATATATAGAAATTATAAATTCCTCTAAAAATTAAATTGCTTAATAATGTATAATAATAGGCTATTTTCTTCCCACCAAAAAAACAAGAGGCGGATAATTGCTTTACAAATTGTCAAATCGTTTCATCACGTCTGGTTTCATATAAAACTACGCGGCTTGTTGAAAATTCTTCGTACTTTCATAAATGTTAGTTCTTATAAAAAATTTAAAAATTAGCCAAAAACTCAGTTAAATATACTCAAAATTTGGCTAATTTTGCCACAAAAATGGGTCACGTGGCGGAAGGTCACAGGACAAACGTTTGCACGCACATGCACGGAATCTTCCCTTTTGGCTTAGGGACTGACACTCCCCACCTTTGGCTCTATAAAAAAAGCCAAGCGAGAGGCTAACAAATCATCCTCCAAGAAAGAAACAATGGAAATGCAGTGGCTAGACCTCGAGTCGGGGAACAAGAATCGTTCGGAGGGAAATTCTTGGACATGGAGAAAAAAAGCCGTCGCCGATCTCGATAAGGTGTCCGAGGCCGACAAGAAGGGTCAAATACAGGTTTCTTTCTCTCTCTCTCTCAGCTTATGCAGTTTTTACGTTTATAGAGGTTTTGCTGGCCTGATTGTTTGGTTACCGAGAAAAAAAGGGTAGGAAAACAAAAGATATTAAAACGATTTTCAGCATTTTAATTTGAGTAATTAGAACTCACAAAATGGAAGAAAGAAAGACAAGCGTTACTCGTGGGTCGTCCCACGTTTGTTCTCAATTTCTTTATTGTAGTTATGTTTTTCGATCGCCGTCCGTTTTGAGAGCTCGTGGTATTGATGCCCCCACGCCAGCTGGGACTCACGTTCGACCGACTACCTTGTGTGTACTGTTGTATTGATGGGCTCCTCTACACCGTTGAGATAGGAAAATCATCAGCGTGCATTACTGAAACAAAAAATGTGAGGTTTGAAATTTTGATTTTATGGTATAATACTAGGGTCATGCTAAAGAATTGAGGACTCTTTGATTTATTGCGTGATAATAAAGCTCGCTCTTTTGCTTCTTCTAAGTTCTTGAGATTCTAAATTTTCGATCGTAGTTGAGCTAGAAGACTTCTCTCTTATTTGTACTTCCTTAGAAATTCTTGTCTTGTACAGGAAAATATCTTCAAAGAATGTAGCATCTCTTGCTTCCATAACTGTGTTGTTTGCAACCTCCTTTACTTCAGAGTTAATCACCAGGAATCCTATATATACTAGGATTCATGATTTTTTTTACTCAGGGCCTGAAAATCTTGTTGGTCCTACTGTCTTTTGAAATCCCATTACTCCACCAAATGATCATGATAGTTGTTGAAATCCCATAATATACTATTTCAAACCCAGAAGATTATTTTGATCAAAACAAACAAAATTGAAAAATAGGCTTTTGAATTCTCCCTTTAGAAATAAAGCAAAGTTTTAGTTCGTAACATTTGGGCTCCATTTAGTTCTGTAAATGTTTGTGTTTTCAGACCTGCAACAACTTTTAATACCTTGTATATATTGAATGCTGATATGCATTGAGACTAGTTCAAATCTGATGTAATAACTGATAATAGGACAAGATCTTATTTGAGGACCGTACAGGAGAAACAACTGCATATATGCTTGCAGATGCACAAATGTGGTTGCAAGCTATATATGTTTGAATATAGCTGGTGGTACTCTGTTATTTTCAGTTGAAGACTTTATTTGTGAACTTTTACTGCTGCTGTAGTTCTGGGGGACTATGATTGTCATCAGTTTTTTTACTTTGTTATTCTTCTTTGTTTTACCAGGAAGAGATTCGAGTTGTTGTGTACGTTCAAATAGCAGCGCTGCGGTTTATTGATGGTATCATCTTTAAGCTTATAGGCCAAGTAAAAGTTCATTTTGTGTGTGCTTATGTCATGTATTCATTCCTTCTCTGTCTTTGTTATGTGATCTTATGAAGCTGGAGCTGGTGATCGATCCAATGAAAAGCGAGGACAGGTTTGAAATATATATATATATATATATATATATATTAGCTCCGACTTCCAACTTCCAAGTGAAATTTGCTAAATTATATTAATGCTGAAAGTGAAAGATACTTCAAAATAGTATCTTATGGGCCTGAAAAACTTAATTTTAATTTTGATTTTATGGTATAATACTAGGGTCATGCTAAAGAATTGAGGATTGATATATTGCGTGATAATTAACCCGAAAGATTATTTTGATCAAAACAAACATAATTGAAAAATAGGCTTTTGAATTCTTCCTTTAGAAATAAAGCAAAGTTTTAGTTCGTAACATTTGGGCTCCATTTAGTTATATCAATTGTTTGTTAATAGTTCTGTAAATGTTTGTGTTTTCAGACCTGCAACAACTTTTAATACCTTGTATATATTGAATGCTGAGATGCATTGAGAGTGGTTCAAATCTGATGTAATAACTGATAATGGGATGAGGACTGTACAAGAGAAACAACTGCATATAGGCATGCAGATGCACAAATGTGGTTGCAAGCTATATATGTTTGAATATAGCTGGTGGTTACTCTGTTATTTTCAGTTGAAGACTTTATTTGTGAACTTTTACTGCTGCTATAGTTCTGGGGGACTATGATTGTCATCAGTTTTTTTACTTTGTTATTCATCTTTGTTTTACCAGGAAGAGATTCGAGTTCTTATGTACGTTCAAATAGCAGCACTGCAGTTTATTGATGGTATCATCTTTAAGCTTATAGGCCAAGTAAAAGTTCATTATGTGTGTGCTTATGTCATGTATTCATTCCTTCTCTGTCTTTGTTATGTGATCTTATGAAGCTGGAGCTGGTGATCGATCCAATGAAAAGAAGAAGAAGCTTCAAATCCAGGTCTCTCTCTCTCTCTCAGCTTATGCAGTTTTTACGTTTTTGTTTTCATTTCGTTAAAAAAATAGGAACACACCCCCGTTTAAGATCTAGAACTGGTGTAACGTGGTGGTTTTAGAGGTTTTGCTGGCCTGATTGTTTGGTTACGGAGAAAAAAAGGGTTGGATAGCAAAAGAAATTAAAACAATTTTCAGCATTTTAATTTGAGTAATTTGGACTGCTAAAAATTCAGTGATCGCTAATCGTAGGTTGCAAATTAGATCGTCATTTTCTACTGAATGGATGATATTTATTTTGATGAGCATTTTGGATTAGAACTCACAAAATGAAAGAGAGAAAGACAAGGAGTTTTTTCTTTCCTTGATTTTCTCTGCTGCCAAACAAGCAGGCGGCTAGGGATTTGTTTCGGCTTACAATGCGCTACGTGTGGGTGGTCCCACTTTTGTTCTCAATTTCTTTATATATATTTTTTTCTAGTAACTTAATGTAGCCCAAGAGGATTGGTCAACGTTCACCACAGCAGGCAGTTGTGCTTATATAAATCAGTTTGTCAACGTAGGCTTAGCCCAAAGGTACCCTGTTTCCACTTCGTTGATTTCTTGTTTTTGGTTTTGGAATGATGTTGTAATTTTCTTTAAAGCACGTCTGTCAATTATCCAAGCTGTAGGAATTGATCGAGTATCCAAGCTATTGTACAATTTTCTTTTCTTTCTTATTTTTCTAGAATAAGCTGGTGTACAAGATTGTTGACTTTAACTGAATGAATTCCTTCCTAACCATGAACCAACGTTTATTTATTACAAGATATCTATGAACTTTTATGACGTAATACTAGTTTCTTTTGTAGGCAACTTCGGGAGAGTGGGGGTTCTTAATCACTGGCCTCTGCCTAGAGATTTTGTCACTTGCTTTTGATCAGGCTTCCTCCCCAAGCCAGCCCCTATATGCACTGTTTGCTATGATATTCGCTATTGCAGCTGTACTCGTCTGCATCTGGGAGCTCATTTACAAGGGTAGAAAGGAAAGAGTTGTATTGAGGCCGTGGGGACGGTTGTGGTGGTTCTATCATCCACATCCCCAGCATGGGCTTTTTGGTACTGTTCTGGACTTTATGGGAATTTTTGGGGGAATTGCCCAGTGTATTTGCTCGATTGTTCAATTCGCTTGCTTCCTTCTGCATGCTGATAATCCTATCAAAGTATCCCTTTGGCCTGCCATCTTTCTTATATGCTTAATTGCTAAAAGATTAAATGATAATCCAAATGAGATCTGTGATGAACGCGGAGATTGAACAAAGACTAATTGGTGAAGACGGTGAAAGCACAAAGAGGTACTTCAAATTGCCCATTTGCTCAATTGATGGTGGTGCATTTCAAGTGTATAGATTATCTTATTTTCATTTTCAACTTTTAGAGGGGTGTATTCAATTAAGATTTTAGAATAGTTTAAAAGTTTGGGTGTATTCAATTCAGATTTTATTTTAAAAGAGTTTGTAAAAGTTTGGGTGTATTCAATTCATATTTCAATTGATATTAAAAAAATGAATCGAAATCTAAGTGTATTTAGTTAGGACTTTTTAAAAGTCAAACAAAATTTAGGTGTATTCAAAAAATAATTTAATTTGAAGGAATTAATAAGTTGCCTGATTTCGTTAGAAAATAAAGTGGCAAGTATAAATACAAAAGGCTTTGACAAATCTTATGTGAACCCTAGAAACTTTGAATGTGCTCTACGCTTTCCAGTCCTTGAATGTGTGCTTGTCAAGTGGAGGTAAAAAATCTCCTCTTTTTCTACGCGTTCTACGCTTTCCCGTGCTTGAATAATTGTTGTTGCTATACATCATCATATATCCAAGCAATTCTTGTTATTTGTATTCGATGCACATCATGTATGAATAGTTGAATAGTTATTGTTGCCGTCATATATCCAAGCAATTGCTGTTTCTACTTTTCCGTCATATATCCAAGCAATTGCACATCTTGTATTCGATGCACATCATATAACATGTGTGCTTGTCAAGGTTTGCTGTTATTATTATTTTTTGTTGGTTGCTGTTATTATTAATTTTTTGTTTTTAGTTGCTGTTATTTTATTTTATTTCAATTTTTTTGTTTCTATGCATCATATCATATAGATGATAGCCCTCTTCATCAATCTATGTTCATCCTTTTTTTTTTTTTTTTTTGTTTGTTTTTGTTTTTGTTTTTGTTTGTACAATACCTATGTATATCTAGTCCGTGCCAAAACAAAAAGGAAAAAATTATCTTCATATATAATTTTTTTTTCTTATGAACTAATTAAAGATTGCATGTATTATCTAGTAACATTATAAATGGGAGATTCACAACAAGGAAAAGGAAAAACATCTTATAACCCATGGACCTTGAAAGAAAGCAATATGCTGTTAGAACTAATGGTTGATGCTGCCAACAGCAGATGGCATGTTTCTAATGGTTTACTAAGCAAGCAAATAGTAGAAAGCAAGATACTTCCTGTTCTTAATGCAAAAATTGGATGCCAAAAAACTTATCATCAATATCAAAGCCGTCTGAAATGGTTTAAGACAAGATATCACAGTTTTACTCAGCTTATGTGTCAGTTTTACTCAACTGTTGTAATTATGGATAATAATTAAAATGATCATGATGTTGAAAGTGGTGGTGATGGAGGTTGAGGTAGTAGTAGTGGTGACGATGTTATTGAAAATAAATAATTAAATTTCATATATACAAAAATAATGAAATAAGGTTCCGTCAGTGCTCTCCTCTCCCTTTCTCTCTTCCTCCCTTCTCTTTTCTTCCCCCATTCTCCATTCTTCCTCCATTTTCAATGACAAAAGGTTTCCTTTTTTTTGTCTTCGCTTTGTTATGATTTTCCTTCACCCATAATAAGTGACTACGTCTCGACGTTGGATCTCCACCCATGATAATATGTGAAAATTTTATTTCGAAAAGTAAATATATTACGTTGATCCCAAAATTTCAAACAAGTGGTTAAAAAAAAAAAAAAACTTTTCAAAAGAGAGGGTAAAAAGTAGACCAATTAGAACAAATCCAATCAATAAGATCCTAATTAGTTGGAGGTCCCTTAAGTCTTAAAGAAGAAAGTTGATTCCGAAGGTAAAAATGATATAATTAATGCATGATTTGATCATGATGTGCGTAAAATGATAAATTATGTAAAATAATTCGTACCATGATTTTTATATATAGAAATTACAAATTCCTCTAAAAATTAAACTGCTTAATAATGTATCTTAATTAATAAGATGCACAACGTTTTGCCATTGGTTGGACTTCCTGTATTGTATTATATTTTTGGAGATATTGTGGACGTCATGGAATTGGTATAAAAGGAATCTTCTAAAACAACTCCACTGACCAACTTCCCGTATGCAATTTTCAATCGGTTTTTGTTAAATTTGTGGCTATTTTCTTCCCACCAAAAAAACAAGAGGCTGTTAAGACTTTGAAGTGGCCAGAGGCTCTAGTGCGAACCACTGAATGAGAATCTTATATGAGGATTAGTCTGAGTCGTCCAAATTGATGTTGATGTACAGTAGAGGCGCTGTCAATGGCATCTTCCTGGCAAAGAAGAAGACTCGGGTGGGATTCGTTTCATCACGTCTGGTTTCATATAAAACTATGTGGTTTTGTTTATGAGTGGTGATTTTCCCACTCCTATTTCTTCTATTTTATCCACTTACACTCCTTTTTTATTAACTAAAAAAGGAGTGTAAGTGGATAAAATAGGAGTGGGGAAATCATTACCCTTGTTTATAAACTCCTTTATTTTAACAAAACTCTGCGTTTTGATTTTTTTAGTATGAAAAAAGACTTAAATACATTTTTGGCTGGGTTTTACATGAAAATTTAATTTGGTTGCTGAGAAATTTTTTTAGCCAAATAGGTCACTGTGTTTCCCAAAGTTTATAATTTAAAGACGTTCCATATCTTCTGTTAAGTGCAGTCTTCTCCCTCTAACTCAACAAGTTAGGGTGTATTGTGCTATTGAGGTTTAACAAATTTGGGGAAATCTTGCGTTCAAATAAAAATTGTGAGGTATAAGGCCACGGATTAGATGGCATATTGAAGCCTGGACCAATTGAATGAGAACAGTATTATAACTTCGAATGGCAAGGATGACAGGACCACCCCGGATTCCCACTTTATTAATAAGCACCTTAAGCCGTAATTTAAACTTGAAGACAATTCGACTCCTACCAAAATTTCGGCAAAGCCTTCTCTATAATTGGAACATTTATCAAATTACAGTACCTGCAAACCAGCACAGAAATAATCCTAACTTTCAACATGCACAAGGTAAGGGCACACATAATAGTTAAGACTATTTACAACCCCGGGAATAAAGACAATGGGTTATGAAGGAAGTCCTACGGTGCGGACAACGGTGATGCCTCGACGTGGTGGTCTCGACCTCGGATATCTAGAACTTTGGGGGCGCAAAACAGAAAATGTGAGTGGACGAAAATAAAGCTTGAACATAAATTATACTCAACATAATAGCCCCCTCTGTTTTAGAAAATAATACCAAAACACCATCTTCAGTAAAAGTACATAATGTCATCCGATACTAGAAAATATTTCAATTCAGTAAAATTCATATCATAACGTACAATAAGGAAAACCATATAATCAATACTTCTCAAATTATTGGAAAAAAATGTAAACTTGTTCATTGAATCCTATATGGGCTTTTTCGTTCTAGTAGCTGTAAATGGGCCTAGACTGCTGTAAAGAGCAAATGGATATAGTTATCCTTGTGCTAAGTTTAAGAATCAGGCCCCAAGAGTGCTTTGAAAAATTCGTGAAGTCTTAGGAAGCACTTTGGTTCTTTCACCAACAAGATAGACAACTGTTTACAAATCAATATTATGGCTTGGCCTGAGGAGCTTGTGGCTTGGAAGCTAAGCCTCCATGAGTTTATCATTAGAGAGAGAGAGCTTGGATTTCTTTTGGGAAGCAGAGGTTTAGAGCAAGGGGAGAGGGATATTTGGGAAGATTTGATGAGAGAAAAGAGGGAGAGATAGGGGGTAAAAGAATGGGTGGCTTGATTAGGTTTTCCAACAGCTTTACGATTGCTTGCTTGTGCTCTGGATGGTTGTCTCGTTGGGTATAAGGTGCCTCCTTTTATAGGCCCTGGAAGCCTCTTTTGGTTCAAGAACCCTAGCTAACTTTCCCCCAAATTTTGTCAAGTCCTTTCCTCTATTTCCCTTCACTTCCTTTGATTCAATCCCTTTGGGTGAGAATTCCTTAATCCAAGCACATTGGGACAGAGCATTTTAGGACTCCAAGGTTTTCCTGCAGTTGACTTCTTCCATCTTGGGTGAGGCGCCTCTTGCTTTTCCTATTGGTTTTCCTACCAAAACTTGCAAAGGAAAGAACAGATAAAGGTGCTGGTCTAAAAGATGTCTTACTTCCAACAACCCGTGCACATGGGTTTCGCTTGGTTTTAACGATGACTTGGTTTTGATTTGGTTTTAATAAGGTGCTGGGATATTTTCTAAGATGCTGAGCCATTTCTCTAAGGTGTTGGGTCATTTCTTTAAGGTGCCGGGTTGTTTTTTCTCTCTTATGCTTACCCATATATTTGGACTCAAGAAATAGGCATGAGTTTGGTGCTCCCAAGCAGCCCAAAACTTCCACTTCTTGGACCATCAATGGGCCTCATGAACACTCGTAACCATCCATACCACAATTCGCTTAGCAAGCCTTAGATATTTGTGTGGCTTGGACCCACTTAAGCTTGTAGTGTGGCTCGATATTAAAATAAAGGTTCTCTTCACTCAACATTGTGTGTCATTTAGCGTGTTTGTGCTCAGGCTATGTCGCATTGTAACGGGCTATGGCTGGGCCCAGCAGTGCTTGACAGGATAATGAGTGTGGGTTCTTGGGACCAGTACATTTTACAGGTCATTGCGACCTCTCTGCGTCGTGGGTTGCGTATTGGCTTGACGTGGCATTCAGATCATAACTTGTGTAAACATATACTACAAATTCCTGTGTACCCCTATCGGGCTTCTTTCTCGATTAAGTGTTATACTGGGCTAGAAACGTATTTACGCCTAACCTTAGATTTTTCAGGCCTCAACAAATCCTTATTGTAAAACTGTATATTCAAATAATCGTACTTGTGCAGAGTACTCTCAATGCACATGCTCAAGAAACCTCAGCAGGGAAATAAATCCACACATATATCCATACACACACACACATGCACTTCACCATCCTTATGTACCAAGGAAAAACAATTCAACACGAGGACTGTTTTTAACTAGACCACATGGCAGAATCCTCAATACATATATGGTTAGGGACGAGCAGTCCAACCAAGACTATTGCTCTCCAGACAGGCACGGCAGAATCCTCAATACATGTGCAACTGAAATAAGTCTTACGCGGGCAGATTACTCGTTAAGGGCCTATGGTGCACC